TGCAAAGTTCACACAGAAATGCCAACTGGCCCAGCCAGGACTCGAATCAGAGACCTTCTTGTTGTGAGATTATAGTGCTAACTACTGAGCCACCGTGCCGTGTTTTAATAATATTCTGGGGAAAACAAGAAAGTTTATGGAACTGAGGAAAAAAAAAAACATCTACACACAGTAAGCATGATAATACACACTTGTATACATGGTTTAAGAGAGCTCTCTGTATGCTTTAACATTAGAGTTAAGACTTAAGTGTGGTTTATTTATAAACTAATTTCGAGAGGATCACGTGCTTGTGATTGAACACATCTGGTATCACATTAACTTAGCATATTGCACTAATCAGATGAATACTGACACACTATAAATAACCAGAGCTTTCTACTCCAGTCATCTTCATTTTAAAAAATCCCCCCTTCTACCCTTACTCCTCCCCTTTTCCGATAGGGTGGCACGATGGCCCAGTGGGTAGCACAATCGCCTCACAGCAAGAAGGTCACCGATTCGAGCCTCTGCTGGGTCAGTTGGTGTTTCTGAGTTTGCATGTTCTCCATGTGTTGGCGTGGGTTTCCTCTGGGTGCTCCTGTTTCCCCCACAAGTCCAAACACAAGCGCTATAGTGGAATTGGGTATGCTAAAATTGTCCGTATTGGTGTGTCGATGAAGTGTATGGGTGTTTCCCAGTGATAGGTTGCGGCTGGAAGGGCATCCGCTGCATAAAACATGTGCTGGATAAGTTGGCGGTTCATTCCGCTGTGGCGACCCCTGATTAATAAAAGGGACTAAGCCGACAATGAATGAATGAATAGTCCCATATGAAATGAATGGGGAATGCTAAAATTAAAAAGTACACGCTCAGAAATAAAGATCACTGAGGTCACCTTTTACCACATAGGTGGACATTGGTACTTTTAGGGAACACTTTTGTACCTTTTATATACATTTGTACTTTTTTGTGCATTAATATGCACCTTTAATGACCTGTTAGGAACAAAAAACTGCCGTCCCAGTTGCTGATTTTATACCTTTATTTCAGTGTACATTGTGCATTTTTAGAGGTAAATGCATGTGTGTATATACGTGTACAAATACATTTTAAATAAATATATATATTTTTCCAAAACAATTGCTCAACATTTGCTTAAAAATGGGTTCACTCTCGAGACCAAAAATGTTCACAGGGTTAACACATGTATGTACTGCTGTTTTCATGGGCATATCAATTATATTTTTGTAAAGCTTGTAAAGAGATTTTCCTATTTATAATAATGCACCTCAAATGACGCATTATGGGACCAGATATTTTTAAAGGCTTGGAAATTAAAACTAAAACTGCTACCTTAAAAAAGACATCTTTATCTAACAATTACATTAATTACAGCATAATTAAGACTGATTATTTATCATTTAAAATATTTAATACATTGTTTAAAAGGGTTTCAAAAATGTTATATTTTAATGCACAATCCACAGCATTGTTCATGTTTAAATGTGATTATAGTGAAATGTCAGGTCAGGTGGGGTTTACTGTATGAAGGAGTGTTGAAGATTGTGAAATACTGTGGATTACCTTTCACAACCAGTGTTACAGTATTCTATTTTCAGTTTTAGAAGATATTATAAGTGTAGTGTGTGTTTACATCTTTCTTTATTCTAATACATTTCAGCAGATATTATTTATTATAACCCCAGGTACAGTATTATTATTAAACAATAAATGAATAAATTAAATGCCATACATAAATCAAGGAAAACATTATCTACATATTTTTATTGGATATTTTTAGTACTTTAATATGATGCTAAAATTGAAATCCATTTTTATTTCTACAAAATTTGGTTTTATTTAAAAATGATTGACCCTAATTCAGACAATCGTCTTCACAATAAATATGTTTATGATTCTGCTCTAAAATGATGTGTTTGTCTGTAAAATGTCACGTTTTGTTATTTCTCTAAACAGATTTCAGAATAAGGGCTTAACTATGAAAACTAATATATATATATATATATATATATATATATATATATATATATATATATATATTTTTTTTTTTTTTTCTTTTTTTTTTCCTTCAAATTATTATTTTATTCCAGTTCTTTTATCAGTGACTGCTGTTAGCGTTTGCTTTTCATTCATTGTTTTTTATTATTTTATTTTAGTTGGCAAGATACTTTTGACCAATGATCTTCTTTAGTTTCTATGAGTTTTCTATGAGCTCAAAAATGCAATAGCTCGACTGTCTGTGTAAGAAAGTATGCATATTTATATTTAATAATAATCATGCCTCAAAAAGAAGATCCTATTTATTTAACAGAATGTGTGTGAAAGATATG